CACTTATCTTTTCTTTCTCTGAATCATCTCTGAAAATTAATAGTCACTAGAAAAACGTGAAAGTTAAATTGTATTATGCTCATATGATATTTATGAAGCATTTATCTTTTGTTTTTTAGCAGACGATCTTTTGTTAGGAGAGAGCATTGCAGACGGTAAATTTTATGCCTCGTGTACTGTGTGCACTAAATAGTGATACAAAACGACCGTCTACTATCTAGTGTTGACTGGATTGTCGTAAATTGAGAGTTTGTGGCGGTTGCAACGAGTACAATACCTTACGTCGTAGATCGTCCACGCAGAGACATAAAAAACTTTTTTGTTAGCTGTTGGAAGAGACCGTATTAGTAGTATGAAGAAATAAATCTGTCTTTCCGCACTCGAGTAGATCGCGTCGTCTTTAAATTTTTTTTGTTTTGCGCTAATTAATACGCACAGAGAGGTTAAATTCTAAATAATGATATGTATATTAAAAAAGCCTCATTATAAGAAGATTCAGTTGAAAAAGAATTGACGTATTAGTTTTAATACTCTATCCTTTTTATATTATATTATAAAAGTTTCTTTTCTAATATTAGCAGTAATATATTATTATCTTCAGCTCTAAATTACATTAAAAAAGTCTAAAAATGCAGGTATAGCTAGTAATAAAAATAAATTTACATCAATTTATGTAATAAAAATTATAAAAAGATATTTATTGTATAGACAATTCTAAGTTCTTATATTTATAAATTTCGGTATATTTATTGGTGCATTCGATATTTATTGTTTATAAAATATTATTACATTATTATATGTTCAGTTTTATTAATTATACATTTATTTACTGCATATATTCGTTAAAATAATATGTTCATTTATAAGTGAAAAGAACTAAACATGTTTTTTTATCAAGCTTTTCATTTGATGTACATATCAAATTGTCCATCAATTCTAAATTAAAAGCAAATAATTTATATAATGGATGTAATGTTATCACCTTTACAAGTCATAGCATTTATACAGATGATTTAAAGAGTTGATAATGCCAATAAATTAGTTCATCGAATTATACGATTGTTTATCGATATTTTCGCAAGCAATATGTAAATGGATGTTGTGGGTATATTAACGATGCAAATGCTTTTATGCGATAACGACATTTATTTGCGGCTACGTCGCTGTTCTCTCGCAGCAAAAAGTATCGGATGCCAGTACCGGATGCCAGTACCGGATGCCAGATAACAAAAACTTTTCGATTTAAAGCGAATTTTAGATGCGAAAACAGGAGTGGCGAGATAATAACGCGGCCATTCCTGATGGTTATTCCCAACCACGCGGAAATGCACATACACACATGAAATCACGTCCAGATAAGGTGTCGCACGGTTACAAGAGAAATAGCGCTCCGGAGTGTCACATATATTATCCATCGCGTTGCACTCTGCGGAAATGGATTATCAATGAACGATATAAGATCCAATTTTTGATATTGTGACGTGATAGATAGTTTGGTTGCGATGTCGCGTGTCGGTTTTTCGGATAAGAAATTTATTTCTGCTTATCGTAAAAATTTCGTTTAGCACAATGGTTTTCATGTGCGACTTCTAGAATAATTTTGCGAATTTTATAGCATTTTACTTTAATATTAACAAATAATTTATTACCTTGATTTAGATCCAGAAATAATATTTCATACATCTCTCTTACATGTTTTTTTTGGAGGGGATATAATTTATAACGCCAGTCTAGTCTATTTTGTACTAAAAGGAGCGAGAGAAGGATTTAACTAGGAATTTATCGAGTATTTGCTTTTGAATAGAAATAATCGGCTATATGCATGTCGATCATAGTTTCACACTAAAAATATTCGTCGTTAGTGCACGGAATTGGAATGATCAGGCCAGAATTCAATCTGCTGTTGAACCTCTTCTGTCCTCTTTATGTTTATTCCAATGGTCTCGTACGACCGGTATTATTTCTATACGAGTGCATTTATGTGCCGTTGCAAGAGAGTGCTTACATATTATGCATAGGTATTATATTATGTATACTTGTATTCAGTCAGAGAGTCGAGGGAAAAATATATACAGAGAAAGAGAGAGATAGAGAACAATGTAGTCATTATTAACGAAAACATTGAAGCAAACGTTGTTGTGTTTCACATTTTCCTTTTTTTCTATAAATGTAATATTACAACCTCCAAATAAATATCATGTCATTGTAAACTTGATTTACACTGTTGCTTATTTTATATAGACCCAACGATCAATATTATAATATACATATTATTTTATAATTTTATTTTATATAAATATATTTATTTTATTTGAATATATTGGATACGGAAATTATGAAATTAATTTGGAAAATATTGAAGAGCTTCGCGCACATAAAAAAAGTATTATCTATATCTCTAATAATTTTCTCGCAACGCTGGTTTGCACGTACTATCCGCTTGGTTAGCGTCACATTTAATTTTGCACAAACGATTTGGTTTCTATTCAGTGTTTCTATTCACACAGCGAATATCTGTTCCGCGTAAGCGCGTGTCCTAGTTTTACTTTTAAACTCGGTGGGTGCTCACCTAGGCGATGAACCGGGCTGAAACGAACGAGGCTCAATGCGCCATGATCCAAATCACAGTTTCTTCGCCGAGCCCGTTCCCTGGCGAGTTTTGCTCTCCTCCGTAAACAGCAAATTACCATTAACGCTAACAGCGGAAATCCCAGAATGCAGGACACGATAGGTATGATTATGCTCTCCGGCGTAACTGAAAGATGTAAATTGGTCGTGCATTAGAATTTATAAGTGAATTAATACAATATTAATCTTGATTTATATATATTACTATAATACGTACATATATAATTCTCAACAAGGTAATTGTCTACAACGTAAATGTAAAGTATTTATCTTCTTTAGTGACGTAGGAGCTTTTAACAACTTAAATAATGTTTTTCGACGGGTCATTTCGATCATTTAACAAGGTTTAACAAGGTTAAAATATTGGTGGTGCGATATTTTGTATACTTCCTTTTTGAAGAATTATTTTTGATAACATCGCGATCGTTTATACGAATACGTATCAAATTTATTGGATTTATCTTATCAAATTATTGATATGTCAATTATTCTCTTCTCTTCTCATATATCAATTTCATTAATTGTTGATGATAATTGATTTGATAGATATGAATATAATTTTATATATATGAAAAGCTACGTAATTTTATTTTTATTATCTATGAGCATATAAGTATTTTTAATGAAGTACCTATATACCATACTAGGTATATACTTCGTTCATTCCTATTACTATACTATTACTATACTATGAAGCAGATCTACATCACTAGACAAAAAGGGCAAGATTCTCGAAAGTTTGTCAGTTCATGAAAATTTTAAGCGTGTAATAAAAGCGAAGTTGTTATTTTATAAGACCCATTAATTCGATTTAAACAACTCTCATAAAATGAGATTTAAGATGGTACTGATTAGACTTTTCGTTCATATTTAAAAAAAAAAACTTAAATCCTAACTCTCTCTATTATGACAGAATTGTTCGATTAAAACTTTTTACACAACGCATAATATAGTAATGTCGACATTCTCAATAAAAGTGTCCCAGTTCTCTCTTGGATTAAGCGCTATTTTCTTAGTATGTAATACATAAAGCTTGATTTAGCTTTTATAGTATATACTATTCTTCTTACATGATGCAAAGAAAAGCTTGGTTCTTTTGAGAACTTTTAATCAAGATAGCGCGCAACTTCTACAGAACGAGATACAACACAATTTTTGGCTATTACAACTCTGCTTTTGACTTCATTAATTATTTTTACAGTAAATATTTGAAAGATAAATCTTAATTTATTATTACGTGTACATTAATTGTTTGAATTTGATTTATTTATTAAAAATATTGGTAAGAGATATTACTATTAGCACATACAACTTGTTCTGTGAAAATGCGTCATATTCTGAAAAAATTATTCCATATTTCGCGTATTCTATGTGCTCGTCACGTTTCTTGTATTGTGTGTTTATCGTGTCTTGTATTACCGTTTGTTGTAATTCTTAAAATTAAGGATGTTTTTGGATCGATGTGTTCGTGATTTTAGTAGTTGTTTTGTAGCTGTAAATTAGAGCTATTGTGAGGATTTGAATGAAGCACCAATTGCAGATTACGCGAAGTCCAAAGTTTCTAAAGTTTTATAACGTCAACTATAATTAATCCAACAGAAAACCGTGACACAAATAGCTCCATCACCTTGCTGAAGTATTTTATTCCTTGAAAAAGTGCTCTCCAGGTTCATTAAATGTCAATAGTCTATTAATTGTGAATCTCTAAAATTGCATTTGAAAAGAAATTAATTTCAAATTCTGAAAATATACACAAAAAAACACTGTAGACAAATAATAATTATTTAATATATTCAGAAATCCTCTAGTAAATTTATTATTTTAATCAAGATTATAAAGTTAAAACAAATTCGATTTACTTATATAAAGTCACTTTTTCTTTTTATTTTATAAAATTAATTTTATAAAATAAAAATTTTTAAAAAAATTCTTGTTTTGACATAATAATGAATTTTTCTAAAATTTTTAATAAGTATATATTTTAAGATTACATTATCAAGAAAATATTTTTTATTAAAGATAACATTATTTAAGAGAAAGAATATAAATTAAGTAATCACTTTTGTAGCAATAGAATGATATTTTTCTGTATAAAATTTTTTTTTGCTTCATAACGAACTATCTTATGCTGTCAACTTTTACTGATATCAAGAATTTTCATTAACTTGTTGTACAAACCGAGATGGTCCTTTGTTAGACACATCATATATGACAATTCGCACGTCACCGATGGAGATAAATAGACAAAGCCTTTCATCGGCGAATGATGATCGGATAACAGTACTATGTTATTGTATTAACACATCGCTAACTTGTTAGTGGATTCGTGTTTCTCGTAATTTGCTGTATAACAAATGGCTGGCATTAATTACATTATCAATCCGAT